ATTTACAAATTTTTAAATCTATGGGAAAAATTACTAAATTAATTATTTTATGGTATATTATTTTTATTATTTTATAATATAATTAATTGTTTTATTTGATATCTTTCATGGTTTGATAACTAAATTTAATTCTATCTAAAAAATAGGAGAAATTATTTGATATATGCAATTTGAATGTCAAATCGAAGATGATCATTTTTATATATGATACATGAAAAATAAAATATAAATAAAAAATTATAAAACTTTAAAAATTAAGAAAAATGCACGTTTATAATGATTAGTATATACCTTAGATAAATGCAAGATAAATAGTCTAAGGTGATATCCAAGCCTAGTTTGTAACAATTTGCTGCAGCATAAAACTTGATTTTTTGTCAAATTAAGCATACAAATTGTGCGAGTTTGCATTTAAGCTCAACACATCATAAAATATATACAGAACATATTATGAATTAATGGAACATCAATCTTACAAAATTATAATTAACAAAACTAAGATGTTCACACAGAGTGCCTCGTATCGTGGCTAGACATGTTGTAACCCATTAAAATTGAATAGTACGTGGCCCGTGCAATGCACGGTGAAATAATATTACGATTGTATTATAAATTAAATATATACATAATATTAATCATGATTTACTCATTGTTTTAAAATTAGACCAGACCGGACAGTACTCTGACCGGATGGATAGGAAATTGATTTATCGACCAGTCCGGTTCGCTTGAATTAAAATGTTTGCTAGTAAACCGGTCAACACCAGTCCATAAAAAATATCGATATTTTTGAAATTTACATTTAAAATTATTTTTAATATAAATGAAGATACATATTTAAATAAAATGTAGATTTATAAATCATTTATCATTTAGTTTAAACATTGAAAACTTTTAACTTATTTAGAAATTTAATTAAAATTTTGTATATATATTGAAACATTGAAAACTTAGTTACCTCCCATGAAAAGAAACAGAATTTTCTTCTCATATTTATGATATATGTACATATTGAAACATGTTTATCTTCATAGAAATGAGATTTTTATGCACACACGTTTCATATGTTTGGGAATCTTAAGATCGTTTAGATTCTCTTAAAAAAATCTATCTATATTTACATTTTTAAACTCTTTTTGGATTAAAAGTAATGGCGCCATTTGACATGTTTGTAATTTTACAGATTAATCACAATGTCGCCATTATGATTCGTTTGTTTTGTTATGTTTTTATTATAGTTACAAAAGTTTCTTAATTATCATGATTTTTATTATGATTTTAATCGTGATTTTATAGAATTTTTTTAACTAAACCGATATTATGAGATAAAACAAATCTATACTTACCTTTGACTTTTTCAGTAAAGGTAAAAAAATCGGTTCTGATTTTTATCCCATAACAAATCTGTAATGTCAAGCCTATAAATACCAAAACAAATCTGTAATAATGTCATTCTATTTCCAGCAAGCATTAATTAACTTTGACTTTTCTGTCTACTATTTCTAGTAAATAGGATGTCTTTTTATATAAGTATAGATATCGGAAATATACAAACAGTTTAAAATGTTACATATCCCGGTTAAACTGTTGATACATAGTTTAATAGTTAACAATTACATTTTTTTTAATAAATATACATATTTTTATGATATATTTAAAAATTATGAAACACTTTTTATTCAAACAAAATCACAAGTGATATAATAATTTTGTGTCACACATTCATAATGTGGAGATTTATGTACGTATAACATTAATTTGTCATATATATAACATAACATGAATAAATTTAACAATATTGCATTAACTGATTCTTATTTACAATTTGCATTATTTTTGTTGACCTTCAACATAACTGTTATCATTATACTAATGTTTTTCACAACATATATACACCCCACCTTAATGCAAATGTATAATATATTAAAATTGCATGTTATTATACCACCTTTTATGTTTTTACAATTTAATCACCACATTTGAAATTTTGCAAATTAATACACGACTTTTACCATTTTTGCAAATCAATACATGAATGACGGTTCCGTTAATGAAAATCTGACATGGCATTGACGTGGCTTAATGCCATGTCAGATTTTCGTTATATTTTTGTTAACAGAACCGTCATTCATGTATCTATTTGCAAAATGGAAAATGTCGTGTATTAATTTGCGAAATTTCAAATGTGGTGTTAAATTTCAAAAAATATGAAAGGTGGTGCATTAATATGCAATCTTACCTATATTATTCATATACTTAAAACATTGTTATACATTTAACTTCAAAAGTAGGAGGTGGATGAATTAATGTTCTTTATTAACCTTTACTAAGTGATACAAGTTCTTTAGTTATATTTTTACTTATTTCATTTATTTGAGCTAACATTCATGATATTCTTAATTTTTATTATGTTTATTTACATGTATACTATTTTATGTCATATTTTTTACATTATGATCATAAAATGTAGTACATATATACATTCTTAGCATGACACATCTAACATGCTCCAAGGCATATGTTTATGAATATATTTTACGAATTGTTTAAGGTATTGAGAGCATGATATTACATCAATTAGACTTGCAAAATCAAATAAAATATGAGTCAATCGAATTTGAGTAAATTGTAGGATTTTCGAAAATTGGATCATCAACTATATGCAGTTGACATTAGCAGATTATGTAAGCTCTGTATATAAGATTATTTTTTGAGCAAATTTGGGTTATGCCAGCTATATGTTTGAATTTTATAAATATGACTTATCATCATTAATATGGTAACACAATACTTAGTTATTTTATGTTAATAAAATAAAATTATTCAATGGGTTCATATTTTACGAATGCAAGTTCCCAATATGCGAAATCGTATGAAATCTTTGACTCAGTTCCGTTACTACTTAAGCGTCGAAGTTGGTCTGTCCGGTTTAGTTATACATTTTTTTCTCAAAATGTAAACTTTAATTTATACAAAATTTTCCTAACATGCAAAATTGCTATATTATACCTTTGACTCAATTCGTTTACTAAATAAGCGTCAGGAGTTTGTACGTCTGATTTAGTTCATACGATTTATCCTTAAACGTATAAGTTAGATATTTAATCCTATAAATAGCACATGTTACATATTTTTACTCTCCTAATTACAAAAATAGCCTATTTAGTGTGTTTACTATGTATGTAATACTTTAGTCATATAAATTTCACTATTTTTGCAATTTCAGTTCAAAAACTGTATTGTTCCAGAGCATCAGTTTATACCTATATTGATACTAAAAATGCTCAAAATGTAAATATATATAAAAAAAAAAGCAAATAATAATAATAATAATAATAATCTAAATTAAATGAACCAGAGTTGTGGGCCTTGTGGTATAGGGCACTTCATGGATAATTTTCTCATATGCAACCCAATAGATTTACTGAAACAATACCCAAGAAAACTATTTTCTTTTCTACATATCTATTAACTTTTTATTTTTTTTTATAAAAATGCGGCATTAATATAAAATTATACATAAACCCTTAGTTTACGAGCCATAAATTAATAATAATGCACTTTTAAAACTAATGATAAATAACCACAAATCAACTATTTATAAATACTAAAAAATAATATAATTATAATTAAAAATAATTTTATAAATATAGAAATAAATAAGAATTTTATGGGGTGAACGGTGTAAATTTTTTCAAATAAAAAATTAAGTAATTTGAGCCTGTAGTAAAGACTATATGGGCTCAAATTAATTGGGCCGAATTTGTATTGCTATTCTTATGAACTAGTATAAGTCCCGTGCAGTGCACGGGTAAGAAATATTCATTAATATTTATAAATTAAAAGTTCTTATTAGTAATATTTATAAATTAAAAATATGGAATTAATATATAATACAATTACGATTACATAAAATAATTTATTGAAAATGTTATATAACGTTTATTGCATAAAATTACATAAAAATGTCTATTTAAAATTAGTACACAACTCGTGTAGTGCACATAACTGATAATAAATTATATTATATTAATTTCAAAATAAGCATCATTTCAAATTTTTTATTCAGAAATTCGATTTGACTATAATGTGATTTAATAAAATAGTTATTTTGGTAAAATGTTATATATATTTTACAACCTATGTGAATAATAAGTATAGATACAAAATTTATATTGTTTCATTCCTTAAAATAATTGTTTTTTGTATAAACTATTCAAATAAAAAGGATTAAGTAGTTGACTAATTTATTAAACTATAAATAATTGACTATTTCGTTTACATCCAAGTTAATATTGACCCGTAAGTTATTGAGTAATTTATTAAACTATACATAATCGACTATTTCGTTTACGTCCAAGTTAATATTGACCCGTAAGTTATTGAATAATTTATTAAACTACACATAATCGACTATTTCGTTTACGTCCAAGTTAATATTGACCCGTAAGTTATGAATAATTATTTTTTTTATTTTAAATTTTAAATAAGAATCTTATTATTTTTTTTAATATATCATATACCAAATTTAAACCATTTAACTAATAAAGGTAATATCTGCAAGTTTTATCAATATATTATATTCCAAATTTAAATCATGCAACTAATAAAGGTAATAGCCGCAATATTTAACCAAAATGATTATGTACATTAATTACATTAATTTAGGCGAGATTTTTCAAATTTTGGTAAAAGAAGTATTATCAAGTTACCAAGTATCAAATTATGAAACCACTTAATTTGTTCAAAAGAAGTATTATCACTTGTTCTTTTGCTTTATTTCTTTAATCAGATTGTGTATGAAGATATCTATCGTAAGTTTATGCATTTTAAGAAGAAAATGACTTCTTAAATATCTATTTCAAACAAACCTACCTCAACAGATTTAACAAACGGTAAAGGTGCTTGCTTTGCATGACCACTTGCTATCCTGAGGGCCCAGTTGACATACTTTTACTTTTTATTTGGGAAACACAAAATTGTGCTGTTAATATCAAGAATTACATAAAATACTCATATGCATTCAGACATGAGTAGATCTGTATGCAAGCAACCAAGCAACAAAAGTGTTACATCGTTGACATGAATAAGATGAAAATGTTATTTGCCGAACACAAAACAATAATAAATCTAACTGCTTATGAAAAAAAAAATGAAATATAAAAATCCATGAACTTAACAATAGCATCTGACATAAAAGTCTGTCGACCATGTCTTCCTTGAAAATCAATGGAGTTGATACCAACTTCGGCAGAGGCTTTCCTTTTCTCTGCCCCGCAATCACCTCTGCTGGTTCGGTACCTGAAATCACACAAAGCCACAACTCAAAGGAAATCTCATTGAAATCCAACAATGGCCATGTGAAGGACCTAATATCAGCAAAATCAAACAACATATCAGTTTACGCGTAGAACCATCTGTGCTGCTCTAGCCTCTGCCGACCTAATATCAACAATGGCCATGTAAAGGACCCAATCTCCAGACTCCGAAACTCGGCTCCCAACATCACCTCCATCCACCTCTCGAACACCTGGTTCATATCGTGCCTCTCCCGACCCTTGACGGTGCCTCCTTCTTTCACCGCCTTCACGGCCCTCTCAGTTTCCCCTATAAACCATTTCCAGACAAAATCGTGTTTATAAATAAAAGACTCGATTNAAAGGCCATGGTCATTACCATTTGTCCCAACTGAAAAATAACCCAATCACAAAACTAAATCTTATTTTAAGCTATAGCATATAAGTGTGAGGTTAAGTATCTTACCAACAGATAAACAAAGTCAAATTTATCAGGCAGATCCTCATACTTCTCCTTAGTGTAGTCAATTGCCAAATCGGCCCCCAAACTTTTCAGAAATTCAAACTTCGACGTGCTGGCTGTAGCTGCAATCTTAGACGCACCAAAAACGTGTTTGGAAATCTGCATTAATCGATGAATAAATTCTCATACGTTCGAACCTATGGCTGCATCTCAATTAAGCTTTTGCATAGAATTATCAATATAAATGAATAATGAACACAAAGAGCTCCTCAAGATCTATCTTTATTAGTTTGAACTTTACTTGAACGATGAATTACCCAACATCACCGGCTCCACCGAGCACGAGTATTGATTTGCCCTTAGAAAAATCGTACTTTTCGAGCCCTTCATAAGCTGTCTCTAGGGCAAGAGGCAAGGCAGCGGCTTGCACAAAATCGAGATTCTCGGGCTTGTGAGCTAAAAGCTTCTCTTGAGCAGTTGTGTACTCGGCTAAGGAGCTGAGCTATTTCGGCTCATCAATTGCCTTCTCGATAATGTCTCCATAAACTTCGTCTCCTTCTTTAAATTCCTTCACATTGCTCCCTACTTTAACGACGATGCCAGCCACATCATAACCGAGAATAGTCTGCAAGCAATAAATAAATAAATTGAGCATCATCCAATATACTGTCAATAGATCCATTTTTTTTGGCCAATTCCTAAACTAAATCTAAACATTTCCTACAAGTTTAACCAGCAACTACATCAGAAAACACTAAAAAACCCAAACATCCCGTGAATTTGATTGAAAAATTGGAACTTGACAATATTTTAATCCACGAGTAGCAGGTTAGCAGCAACACATGCCCAAGAAATTAAAAAACAAAGAAGAAATAAATCAATTACGGGGGAAAAAAAAAAGAGTGTGGATGGCTCACCGGGAAAGGAGAATCATTAGCCTTGAAATATCCAAATCTCCTCTTGAAATCGACCGGGTTCAAGGCGGTGGCGACAACCTTAATCAAGACCTCATCGTCCTTCACCTCCAGAATCTAGGTTCTGCCCGTCGCATAGCGGCGGCGGCTCTGGGACGACGTGCTGGAGCCGACGGAGGCAGCGCAGGAGAGGGGCACCGACCGCTGATTGGGTCTCGCTCGACAGCGCCTTTGTTGTTGGCGAGGAGGGCGTGGATCTGGTCGCCGGAGGGCTTGAGGCCGAGAGACCAGAGGAGTGCGGCGAGCTCGAGCTGGGTGAGGCTACCGTCGAAGTTGTAGTGCTGCCAGATCTTTCTGATTGGTGCTTTGCCAGCGATTTTGGCCGGGAATATTTGGGAATGAAAGAGAGATTATCTTCCCTTTTTTTCTCCTTTTTCTTTTTGTGCGGATCTTTTCCTTTAAATTTGGATTAAAAAAGTTGGATTGTAGAAATAGACAAGTCCAAATAAGTTTAAATCAATAAATAAAATCTCCAAAATTTTTGAAATGCATGGGCGGGAGCTTATTCATTTTATCACCAAAAATTATGCTAAACTTTAGGCGGGAATTGAAATCTTTTTTTTGCTGATTTTCTCCTTGATTTTTTCAAACAACTATCATTCTCTCTTTATCATTCTCTCTTTGTATATTAATAGATTTTGTCACCCAAACCCAATAGTAAGAAAAGGAGGCCATTTAAGAATAATAACAAAATCTGGGAAATAAACCGCATAAGGAAAAAAAAAAAA